TAGTTGTTAATTTACTGTAAACACGAGTCAAACAAAAGCAGAAACAAGCATGTGAGCGTGGCAGTGCCTTCCCGTCTGTGTCTGCGTCTTCCTGTGAAGAATATTCTGCACATCTCCCATATGATTGACAACCGGTTTAATTAATGTGCAACCACAACACAGCCTGGAGCGGGACTCCTTGTTTATTCCACACCAAAGGTTTCCACACACAATCAATTGCGTCTTCCACAGCAGAGCCGCGACATCCCTGCTGTGAATACCAGCATCGGTGTGTGCTGGCTGGCTCAGGCTGCACTCACCACCGCTCCAGGGTCTGTATGTTATTTAAACACAATGGAGATCAGGGAAAAGAGGATAATAACCGCCGATTAAACCAGAAACCCGAAATCTGACCTTGTGTCTGGGAGCTCAGTGTACGTAGAAGGTTCATGTCCAGAGGACAGAACATTTGGATTCAGACGTGGGACAGGCCGTGTGTCAACATGTTCATTCATTCACTTTTCGCAATAAAGATCTGAAATGGCATCGATTCAGTGATGTTGTGAAATCAACTAAAATCCGTATTATATAAACACACACTCACACACACACACACACACACACGTTTCAACACCTTACACCTTCTGTCTCTCATCTGCTGGCTTGACGCAGATCAAAAAGTAAACATTCGCACCGTGGCAAGTTAGTATTTGTGTGTTGTTGTTTGATTCAGCTGAGATGTGATGTTCCCGTTATCACCTTCATCATCTGAAACATCACAAAGAAATCAACACCCAGCAACTCGTGCAGGCTGGCGTCACCGTCAGGAAAGCACAACCACTTCAACTTCAGTCTCATCACGCCGCTGACAAGTTGTTTCTTATTCAGAAACATATTTTTATAAGTTTAACACGTCACCGAGCAGTCACCAAACACACCAGGTGGCACCAGTGCTGCGAGGTTTCAATCACAGACTGCATAGAAAAGATGGACGAGGCCACTCTGACAGCACCCACTGGTTTGTGCATTTTAAAGCCTTCAGTTTGGAATTTGGCTCAGATATCGTGCTGTTTTCTTTCTTGTTTTAAGACCGAATGTGACAAGCGAGCGGTGACTCGTGGACACTACGCCTGCCTTTACGGTAGCGACTCGTCAGCCACAGAACAACGCTGCCCTGAAGCAGCTCGCGTCTATTTAACTCTAAATGGTGCAATAATCTACAAAATGAACATCATGCTGTGGTGGTGAAGGCTTGGAGGTAGCGGTTGAGACCATAAACTCATTAGGGAAATGTTTACTAAGGTAATAAATCAAGTTAGAAGTCGGGTCTTTGTCTCATTGACGGCTATACAATTGCAACTGGGAATGTCACCCCCTGCTGGTTATTAGACAGAACTTCGGCCTGCGGCATCTGCAGGGGCTTCGTGTTTTTAAAACCTAAAGGCTACGTTCACCTTTTCTATACAGCCTATGGTTCAAATAGTGTGTGAAGGTATTTTGAATGTGGTTTTGCGGACAAAAAAAAGAATGGTTGATCCCGGTTTGTTGCTCTCCAGAGCCAAATGCCCCAGAGCTGTGTTTACACTGCATAGCTAGAAAGAGTTTGTCTGGAACAACCCTATCACAACCACACAGTGAAATACGCTCTGTTATGAAGTGTGTTTTAAAGTTGTGCACATACATCATCATTAACATCTACTTAACGCAGCCTGCAGACTATTTGCTGAACGGATTATGTGCCTGTTTAACTCCAGCAGGCAGCCAAAGAGAAAAGAAAAAGGTTTGTGTTGTGGCACAAACAGACACATGAAAGTTATTGGCAGTGATTAGAAGACTAAATCCAGTCGGACACATTCCCGTCAGGGCGAAGGAAAGAAAGAAGTCGAGGGAACTCAGTGAACGGTGCAGGAAGGTAACAGGCGGACGTTCTCCTTTAACGCCTGTTTGTAGAACTAGAATATTTTTAATTTAAATCTAATTCTGAGGCGGATAAAAGGAGAATGCACATAGAAATGAATAAGCATCGTCTACAACAGTTTATTATGTCATTTCTTCCACAAATAAAATAAACCCTGAGTCATATTTTGCGTGAGTGTATCGTCACCAAACCTCCAATCAGAGGTCAATGAGGTTAAGTAAAGCACTTAGAGAGCGAGAGGGAGTACATTAAACACAAAGGCACTCTTGTTTTGACATTTCCTGCTGGTAGTCTGTGATAAACAGCCATTAAGAGCAGATCCAGGTAATTGAGGACAAAGGCTTCAGAACAGAGGAGCTCCTTTGGCCTCTGTTATAGACAGGCAGGAATTCATGATTAATCGCTCGTCTGTCTCCTACTGGTAGATTCTTGTCCCTTTTCTCCCTTTCTCTTCCTCCCTCTCTTTCTCAATCTATCTTTATGTCTTCATTCTTTTTTTCCTCCTCTGTCAGAGAACCACTGACAGCAGCGGTGCCGTCATAAATCCAGAGATAAGAGACGAAGCAGCATTCTTTTTAATCATCTCCATGTTCAGCTGCACGAGGTCCTGACTGGTGAAGTCGATTTTTATCATGTTCTGGTTTTACTGAACAGTTTGGGAGATTGAGAAGAAGAGTCCAGTGTATCAGTACATAATTTATAAAAAAAATAATAAATTTAAAAAAGAGTTTCATAAATTTCAAACTAAAATAAAACAACTGTGTAAACGTTAGAACTTCTTCTTTGTTTATAAGAGAACAGAAGAAAGTCTTTTATTTTGGTAGTAAGGATTTTTAAAAATTTTCTTAGCTGATGCGTCTAATCCATTTCTCATATTTCTCAATCATGTCAAACGCTAACGTTTGTGACTTTGCCTCAGGTGACGGCACCAGAATCTCCTCCTCACATGAACATGAAACGTTGGTGCCTTCGTCCTCCCAACGCGAGGCGCTGGTCCCAGTCAGACATCAGCCCAAGTGTTTCGCGTCCTTAGGGGAACTTGGAGTTTGTACGTATGCTTACTGTTAGGCCAAGAAGCAATCACAAGTTTTCCAAAAGGGAAAATTATACAGCTTTGATCACAAGCTTTGACAAGAGCTTTTGAAAATCATACTGTTGTGTGCCTGACTGCTATAATACGCCGTGTGTAATTAATACGATTAAAAGTTTCAGTTTGACATTAATGACAGGTGAGAACAAAACTTCAATATGCACCCCGAATGGATTTAATAACATGTCTGGCACATGTTTTGCTGTGTATTAATATTAAACCGTCCGTGTTTGTTAACTAAACAGGCAGATCAGGAGCTCCTCTGTAATACCAGCGGGAGACGAGACAAGCAGCTCTCTATGAATCTAATCACACGAGAGAAGAACCAACACAGTAATTGCAGAAGACCCAGCGGTGACCCTACATCAGTTATATTACAGACTTCAAAGAGCTGGAGGAAGATGTTAGGAGATCCTGAGAGAGATGTTCAGAGAAAAGGCAATCTTAGCTGATCATTTCAAGCGTGCCCAATCTGATGAAGAGCAGAGGCAGTCGAGTGTGAATACGCCTCGTCTCAAACACAACAGCTGCCCTTGTGTGCTGCAGCGCCATCAGACAGCGATCTGACCTCAAGGTGACGTAAGGACGCCGGCCGCCGTCCCAACGCACCGGCGGCTGAGCGGTGGAACGGCCCGTTGCTCTGTGTGGTTCTATGCATCGTCTGGAGAGGTTCTGTCGGCGCTAATGGAGATGATTCTGTGAATGTCTGTCTGACCAGATCCAACAAAATCAGTAGAATCTGTTCAACACAGTTCAGTCGATGCTCACAGACTTAATATACATCTGTGTGAAAGTTATATCATGGATTACATTTCTGACATCGTTAAGCCAAAGCAATGTCTGGACGCTTTCAGCTTCTTTCACCTTTTTATTCACTTTAGGTCCTTTTTTAACTAAAATAAAAATCCTGCGATTTAATATAAAAAGCACAACCAGAGGAGAAGAAACTCAAAAATCTCTTCTGTTCTGTGTGATTCAGTTATAATCAAATAATTCATACAAAAAACCCCCAAAAACCTGGAATCAGTATTTACAAAAGTGCCCACAGGTGTAATCAATAGCTGACAACATGGTACCTCTCCAAACTATAGGAGTTTTATTTCCATTTTTAACTTCTAACCGTCCGTTCGGTGTAAACTTTGCCTGCAGTTCAGTCGAAAAGTGTCTGAATTCGTGTCACGTGACTGCTGGCTGCAGCTAAGTCGCTAACGTTGCAGAAGTCGGTGTTTTTTCGCTGAATCTTGTCAGAATAAATGCTTTATCTGTGCAGACTTTCCAAATAAGACATGCAGGATGAAGTGACTTTGATAAATTATCCTGATCCGAGGCTTAGATTTCATGTCACACATGGTTTGTTCAACGATTACCACAAAGTTAAGAAGCAGATGACTCTTTCTGGGGTTTTTAAATGTAGTTTCTGGCACTAATAAATGGCATCATTTTGGCAGTTTTTTTTTTAAGGTTTTCAGTTTCAGAACGTCAGATGAATAGTTTGGCATCTTTGACCAACACCACTCTCATGTCCGTCCGTCCCATAAGAAGCTACAGACAGAAGCTTCAACTTTACGTAAAGACGGTAAACAAGGGAAACAGCCGCCGTCGCTGTGTCCAGGTCCAAACAGAGCTCTGTACAAGCACCTCCAAGGCTCACTAAAGCTGCACGTCAAATAAAACATCTTGTAAGCTGCGTCTTGCCAAGAAGCTGTCCGGTACCCAGCCCCATTACATTCTCAAATTGTTCTATTTACACTTTGGGTTCTGCAAGGATTCAACAAATGAGTTAATTGCTGAGCTAAAGAATGGAAGCTATTAGAAGAATGTGTGATGTTGGGACCGAGTCAGAACAGCTGTTGTTTTAGCTCCGTTAGCAGATGATGCTAATGGGCTGCTAATATCTAACTGATGCACACTGAGGGGCGTCGGTCTTATTCCTGTACTCAGGTGTGGATGCTGCTCCATATAGTCCAGACACACACACTGAACACTGGACACCTCCATTCCTCCTTCACTCACCTTGCTGAAGTATTTTCCCAAAGTACTTGTTGTGGCTGGTGCAGTTCCACCGGCGGTACCTGAACTGGTACTGGCACTCCCTGACGCCCAGCCTGGCCCCTTTGGCCACCTCGCTGACGATCTCCGGCTGAGTCTGGCACAGCTCAGCCTGCTTCCCCGCCAGACGCTTCGCCTTCCTGCATATGCTGTTGGGGTCCATGACCAGCGGACTGCCCACCGCCCTGCAGTTCAAATAAACGTGACAGAACAGAACGATCCATGAGCAACACGTCAATAAGAGAAAGTTCACGCTGCTCTGTTTGTTAATCACACAGCGCCGAGATCCTCAGCCGCCACAGAACAATGCAAGCCAGGGTTTTTTCAGTTTGGCTCGTCGGCCTGCCAGCTCTGCCCACCACATCTCAGCTGTGGCGACAATGTGCTTCTTGAACAGGCACGTGGGAGACAACAGAGCACAGTTTCCCAGAGGCTTCTTAGCTCTGACTTTGTTGTTGGACGGCGCTGGGATGAAGTGTGTGGTCCTTAGAAAGCTGGAAGTCACATTGTTGGATGTCTCCGAACAGAAAGGGCATTCACAGTTGATCTTAATGCTGCTTAAGTTGATTTTTGGTAAACCAGAAGGCAGACTTTCTAGATTTCCAGATGATACGGCTTCTCTGTAGATGTTGTAGCAGTTAAGAGCTTCACCGCTCAAACCACACACGTCCCTCAAATCAGCCTCCTGAAAACTCCCCAGATTAAACCCGTCTAAATGAAAAGTATATATATATATTATATTACACAAAAAAAAAGAAGAAGGAGAAAAAAAATCAATGTTTAAATGTGTGGCAAAATAAATCAGAGTTGCTTCGTGTAGTTCAAATATTTAAAACATTAAAATATATATACATATATCTCACACTGGATGAATACGGTCGTGGACCTCCTCTACAGCTTTGACAGATGACTGTATATAATAAAGATAAATAATTTATTCTAACTCTTAATGGGAAGAGGGGGCTTGGCTCTACCTCGCAGGACGCCTGCCAGCGTCTGCGGCCACTTCAGTGGCGTTGCAGGAAAGTGGCTTTATGAGATGACTTTACTTCCCTTCCTCTCCTTCCCTGAGCCACTCATCCCCCCGTTCAGCTAACTCCGTATATATTAAACGCCTTTTCTCACATCCTCCTTTCATTTATTCCACCTCTGTCTTCACACTTTCAGTCCCTGAAACTCAGCAGATGTGAAGCATAACTCGAGGTTTTACCAGGACAGACGGAGAGCGAGTGGGGGAGCCTTCAGCCTTCTGCCCGTTAATCGCACCTCCTGATATCATTCATCTGCCCTGAGAGTTTGTTTTAAGAAGCAGAACAAACACTCTTTCCAATCCCCTCTCCTGGAGGTCTGATACGCAGCGACAGACTTTTGCACGCGCACACACACGTGCGCATACGCAGCCATTGTTGCGCAATCCCCACGTCGTTGATAGCCGATCTATTTTTATCGTAACACAACTATTTATGTGGCGCGCTAACATGTCAGCAGATGATAGAATGAAAGCAACCGTCACAGGAAACTTTGTGTCAGCCTTTTTATGCCGATCCTGTCGTGGAAGCGTGGACGTAAACTGATAACTTAAACGTGATGTAGCTTAAACGTGATAACGGCAGGAGTAAAGGGCTGCAGTTGTGTCGACCTGTGAGAGGAGCTAATGAGGAGCTCGTTTGCATAAACAGATTACTCCATATTTGTAGATTTTCAGAAGACTTATTTTGTTGTTGTTTGCTTGAGATAAAATCAATCAAACTGAAGCTGAGTGGGTTTGACAGAAACAGATAACTTCACTTTGACTGATGTTGTCTCAGGTGGACGATGGAAACGTGGACTTCTGAAGGTCTGTAGAGATGGAGGTCTCTGTTTTTGCAAATGAACTCTTCAAATCCAGCTCAGTCAGCCGAGATCTGTGGTGTGACTACGTACGTACACATGTACATGCAGCCTACCGCCCAGACAGACACACACACGTCTGTATGCACACTCCAGGACACCCACTGCTCCCTCTGTGATTATTGAGACTGTATTGACTGCATCGCTATGGAAACAGTGTTGTATTTTCAATACAGGTGTTCTGTGTATACAGCGTGTGAGCGACTGTACAGCGTGTGCGGTGGTCACACGGATAATTAAATCATACAGACAGTCTGTGTGTGTTAATTAGCAGGTACGGTTACGATACTTAGCAACACACACTCCCTCTGAAAAACCAGCTATTATCTACCTGCTGCCACCAGGAACGGTGAGAGAGCGAGGCAGACACACAGGGAGGCAAATTAACGTCCATGGATGCGAGTGTCTTTTTTTTTATGGATGCGAGGAAGCGAGTGGGCTTGTTTGTGCCGATGTGTGTGTCTGTGCGCCAGGGGCAGCGCTGGGAAGCCAGCTCTGTCAGCAGCTCACAAAAGCCAGCCTGGTTTTTATAATGGGAGGTGTAGAGTTGTAAAAGTTAGTGAATGCACTGGATGGAGTTTTGTTCTCCGAGTCCTGTGTCACCGTCGGAGAGAGACGGTTAGAGGGCTTTGGCGAACGGAGGAAACATTCCTGGTGATGTCTTCTGCTGCAGCGGCGAGTCGTAAAAGAGATAAAACGCTGTGGAGGAATCTTTATATCTACAACATCACATGTCTGACATGTAGTGTTGGACGTATTTATGGATCCTTTATGGGTCTTCTGTCTGAAAAACAAAGGAACCTGTACATGTTCCTTCCTCTGACTTTGTTCTGCAGCAATCCCGACGCTCCACGTGATCGGAGGAGATGAGGAGTCTTTCGCTGTGTGTTGGGCAAGTTTCTACATTTGACACTGGTGCTGGAGATCCGTCCCATAAGAACTCACTGTGTGGTTTCTGTTTTCAGTATACATACAGGAAAGAAGGTTCATCCGTGTAAGCAGCATCTGCTCTTTGTTTTCTGCCTTTGCGGTCATAACAGACGACAACAGGGCGACACATTCCCATGCTGCTTTGCTCTGTAGGCCTGATCACACCTTAATGAGTCTGAATGTTCTGCAATGGTTGCAATGGGATTCTAAAGACACAGGCCAGAGAACACAAACAAACAATAACAGAACCTTCATTTAACTCAACTGTGAGTTTTACCAATTACCAAATATATCCAATGAAGCACTTATTCATGTATTTAAGTGCATCAGCAGTGCTTCCTGACACAGCGGGATGCATTCGTCTCTGAACTTCGGGCTGTTTGGATAATCGACTGGCTTACAGGTTTAGGAGCAGGGCATGAGGAGGAGAGTGGAAACGCTGGAAGTGGGGTGAACTCAGGTGGAAAAGTACATTGCTGGAGATATATCCAAAAATGGGGTGCAATAATTGGATAATGGGATTAACGCACCATAAGTGTCCAGCATTCTTTCCCTTGTTTGGAGGGTGAAACGTTAAAGTGTGCATCCCTGTACGGAGAGTAGAACATGGGATAGCTTCATCGTAGGCTGGTGGACGGACAGCAGACGGATACAGAAGCCTTTTAAAAATATGTATTCACAAATAGAGTTTGCACACACACACACACACACACACACACACACACACACACACACACACATGCACGTTTATCCGAGCAGGTGCATGTCTTACGAAACAGACACGCACATGCACTTGCAAGTCAGAACTTCAAAGCGAGGCAGTAATCAGATCCTCTCCATGCAAAGTGCCACTGTTCTCCAGTCTGTCATTTATGATGCAGCTCCTGAACAGATAACTCACAAAACACCCAGAAGGATATTCAGTCCGAGATGGTATCAGGGGCTTTAAGGAAACGCCGTCTCGCATGAGCAGCTCTTCGTGCTGATAAAAACCCAAACAGAGGCAGAGGATCCTCGCAGTCAGAGATAAACCGAGAGAAAGAATCAAAAGTACTCAAATCAAAAGCACTGATAGCAGAACTATCTGTGCTACAGCCAGCAGCTGGTCGAGAACGAAGCTTTTACAGGATCTACAATAGTACCAGGGTTATTTAAATGAGTGAAGAAAATGTAGGTACCTTCGAGCTATAACTAGCGTTGGTTATGTTCAATAAAAAATGTAAGATTTAAACAATATTAAAAGGTCTGTTTGACATAATGTAAGTGAAATCAGAAAAGATATGAGAACCCAGATGCCTTATTCAGTGTTTTCTGCGCCCAGAGTGGGTCAGAAAGAGATTAAACATGGGTGCTCACAGAGACCTCAGGTTTCATTAAAGATCTCACGGCACCACAGATACAGAGCTGTACTGCACGGGGCCCTTCTTTTTTTTCACTCCACCCACGAATGAGTGAATTTCATCCCTCCTTAATCCCTCAAGTATGCTGGAGATGAAGACAGTCACGACAAGCGCTAGTCTGAGACGCCGGAGTGAAAGAGAAAAAGGAAAAGGGTGGAAGAGAGACGGCGAGAGGCTAAAGATGGAAGAAAGCCGCTGGAGGTTCAGCGTGAGATAAGGAGGAGACAGAATCAGATACAGAGAGATAAGCAAAGAGATAAAGAAATGATGTAAATCAAAACACATGAGGTTTGTCTGCCATCCCAAACAAAACAAAAAAAAACAAAGATGGGAACAAATTGAGTGTGCTGTCAGTAAGTGCTGCTGTGTTCCTGACCCTGCAGTCCGGGACACGTCCGCCACGTCCAAACATGTCGGCTCATGTCGCTGCTGCTGCTGCTGCTGCTGTAGAACAAGGCCGAGAACAACGACATTTGTCACGATAAAAAGTTTCAGCGCTCATAATCCGCGTTGCGCTCGGTTTAAACGGTAGCAATTAAGTGTGACCAGCAGGAAACCGACACCACCGAACCAATTACCCAGGAGAAAAACATTCGGTCGGGTTTAACAACGGTGGCACACCCAGCGGCACTGACAGCCAAAAGATACACAGCAGGGTGGGAGGATGGATATATTCAGATAGAAGGGAGGGTGGAAAAGGTGCACGGATGAGCTCAACACCATGTAAGAACGTATGGACAGGAGAGGCTGTGTGACGGCTCAGACTACAGCAGTGTGGCTAACAGAAGTGACCTACACCATGCAGTTAACTAAACTAACTATAACTACACTCACAGCCACTAAACACAGGCTAATACTCGATTACTTTCCTTTCATTGATAGCAATTAGCATCGTAGCAATTAGCATCGTGGCAATCTGCGTATGCTACCTGCTGTAAAATAGCCAGTAATGGAACTTTGTCAAAATGGCTTCTTGTATATGTGTATATATAATATATATGTATAGGTGTATGGATGATGGATGGATGGATGGATGGAGGGATGGATGGATGGATGGATGGATGGATGGAGGGATGGATGGATGGATGGATGGACTTCTTTCCTTTAATACCTTGAACACCATCAGTAAAGACAGACTTTGTATTCATGGCTTGTACAGCAGCGTTACAGGCGCTTTGCTTCTTCGTTCACAGTCGGTCACACTGTCCCTGAAGTGATTTGTGTCGCCACGGACCACAGAAAGTTTCTGCTGAAATAAGATATCAGATGTGAAGCTGCCAGAACCAGCTCCAGACCTTCAGAATGACTGTCTTCGTGTTTGCAGTGTGTCAAGTGACAGCAGACCAGAAGGTTTCGTCTCATTCTCAGCATCCAAATGAATGAAGCTAAAAATATCTTTATTATCCATTTTACTTGTTTACCTCACAAATGAACAATTGTCTCTCGGTTTAATTTTATTTGTTTGTGTTCGGGTTGTTGCTATTTAATGATAAAATGACTCTAATTTTCTTTTTTTGTGTTTTGTGGTTGGACAGAACCATCAGCGCCCAGCGGAGCAGCCGACAGGCAGCACATCTGGCAGCAACCCGGTACGCTGTGCAGTCATTCAATGCTCGTCTACAGGCTGATGAATTACTGTAAAACTGTATTTGGTCATCTGTCTTGTCATTAATGTATTTATTCATTCATTTAGCTCATAGAAGGAGAAAAAAGGATAATTAAATTGCCCCAGCGACGTTTCTATTGATTCACTGTGACGACAAGAGAGCTGTGGAAAGTTTTAATTTATGACATTAACAATCTGAAGGAACACATCGGAACAATCTACAACATCTATCAAACGTTAATCAGCTGTTCCTTTTACATTTAAAGCTGGATTCAGACTATAACAGCTCCGTTCCTCTCCCTACCACGGCTTCTTGGACCATGTCTGTCGTCTGCATCATACAGAAAACACTGTCAGCACCAAAGTCTACAAAATGCATGTAAGCTCAAAACTGCACACACACACACACACACACACACACACACACACATAAACAGTTTAATGTCAGCTCTTAACCGTACCTGCTGCCAAACCCACATCGTCATTTAATCTTTATCTGTGCCCATCTCCCTGGTCCTGATTAGACATTTAGCTTCTCAGAGCAGGACCGGAGCGACAAGATAAGATCTGTTTCAATGAAAGTCTCCTCTGGTGA